GGACATCATGCTGGGTAGAGTAGAGGGACAATGCAGGAGGGGAAGACCGTCTATGAGGTGGATTGATTCAGTGACTGGGGTAATCGGGATGGGTGTGACAGAGGCAATGAGATTGGCACGGAATAGAGCAGGGTTTAGGGCTGTTGTACATAGGGTCGCTATGAGTCGCAGATGACTCGACAGCACATAACAACAACAACAACATTATCCTTTAAATATGTAAAGTAAGTTATATTTAATTGTTGGAAAGTCTGATGAATTTTGTCTAAATGCTCAAAACCAAATAATTGGATGTATTGTTTAGAAAGGGAATATCATGCTTAGAAAGGTGGAAGGTCAGCAAAAGATAGGAAGACACCGTGTCCCCCCCCCCATGAGGTGGATTTACATGGTGACTGCAGCAGTGGGCTCAAGTGCTCAGAGATGATGTGGATGGCACAGGATAGGACAAGGTTCTGTTGTTAATAGGATCCTTATGAGTTTCACTTGACTTGATGGTACCTTACAACAACATGAACAGAGGAGGAGAAAAGCTTGGAGATTGTTCATCTAACTCCAACTGTAATTTCCCCTCTACGCCTTTGAGATATATCTTAAAATCTATAATACTTTTGTAAATTTTGTTAGTTTATTATTGCCAGTGGACTTCTGGCACTCACCATATCAACATAGTGACTGCTGCAATGAGTGCTAGTGCGCAGAATGTGTGAAGATGGCACAGGATAGGACAGGGTTCAGATCTGCTCTTCACAGAGTTACTGTGAGTCGTACTCTGTGGCACCTAAAAACAACAACATGGAGCTCTGATGGCCTCGTGGTAAGAAACTGCACTGCAATCCCCAAAACATGTGGTTCAGATCCACCAGCTGCTCCTCAGGAGAAGGATGGGCAGTCTCCTCCTGTGCAATTAACTGCCGTGGAAAAGTCATTAGCGGGTCAGCTAAGGGTCTGTTCTGACTGGGCAGTATACAACAACAACAACACCAACAATGATGTTAAATGAATGTTGTTGTTATGGTTTGGTGCCGTCGAGTCATAGAAGACTCACAGGGACCCTATGAACGAAAGGCCTGAGCATGGTTCATAGGGTTTCCGGAGGCAAGCCATTTCGGAAGTGGATGCCACTCCTTCCAGGCTTCTTTTAGTCGGGAAGCTCCAGCAAACACTGTCCACCATGGGTACCCATTACCATGTTTGGCACATGAGTGCCACAGTCTTCAGCATCACAGCAACCACGAGTTACCTCTGTACAGCAATGCACAGACCAGTGCTATACCACCTAGAAGAATGTTTGACAGGAAAACAATTTGAACCTGGCCTGAGGGCCGCAGATTAAAAACACCCACCTTTGGCTTGGTAGCATAACTTTCTGTCCACTACGCCAGTGTAGCTCTCTCTCTGTCATCGTTGTTATTGTTGTTTGGTGCCGTCGAGTCGTAGATGACTCATAGAGACACTATGAATGAAAGGCTTGAGCATAGTTCTTAGAATTTCAGGAGACAAGCCATTTCAGACGTGGGTGTGAAATTTAAGTGTATCTATATAATTTAACTAATGTCAAGTTATACAATATAAATTAAATTTTTAAGCGTTCTTTGCTGTGTGTGAGTACTTAGAATTTGGCCCTCAGCTTTGCTAACCACTTTTCTTTTATCCTTTACAATTCTAGTCAAGTGGGACAGCGGCCCTAATTGCTATTTTAGTGTTACTGCTACTCCTCGGTATTGGTTTGATGTGGTGGTTTTGGCCACTTTGCTGCAAAGTGGTAAGTAAAACAGAATAACAATTTTCAACTCTACTTTTTTTTTAAGTAATATGTAAAATCTGACATAAAATAACATCAAAATTCTAATCAGCAAAATTGTATTTTAATTGTTTTATTGCTCTAATATTTAATCAGCAACACAATGGGTGTTTATAATAAAAGATACACATAAAAATTTAAACTTAAGAGAAAAGAGAAGATCTTAAGAGACATGAAAGAGATATAGGGCCTTTCAACTCAGGTTTAAGATAAATTCCAGTAAAAGAAATGCTATTCTTCTAATGAATTCATTGAGAGAAGTTAATGATCTGTCAGGTTCTTTTTAGTGTCTATACCATTGTTTCCTCTTAGAAAGAGCTGCTATTTCAGGACCTTTTTTGTTTACTTCTCTGATAAAAATTTAGATTATGTCATGTTCAAATGTTAAGCTGTTGGATAACAATAAGTGGTTTCAGTTTGTGCCATTTTTAACATTTTTGCAAAATCTCTGTGAAAATATGAATATGTGCTATTGACATTACTAGTTTGTATCACCCAGTCCAGTAACTCCTGGTGTCATGGGCTTCCTCCTCTCCACAGAGAATTTTTAGCAATGTTTATTATAAATTTTAATCATAGACTAATACATGAGAGAGAGCATTTTCAATTATTTAAATGCATTGTTTCTCTGATTCTATGAGTACTGAGTTGGCTGCTAGAAGAAAGGTTATCATTTCCAACCACTTAGTGCTCTTTGGTAGAATGATAAAGCAATCCCTTTCTATCAAGGTTTACAGTCTTGAAAACCTAATGGAGATTTACCATGAGTTGGAATTAGCTTCACAGTGATAGGTAAAAAGAAAATGTTTCTCCTGCTAATTACATTATTAAAGAAGAAAGATTGGCTCTCTCCTCTAATACGATAAACTGCCTCCAAAAATCTGCTGGAGGGTCAGCTAAGGATCATTTCCAATCTGACGGTATATATAACAACAACAATTACATTATTAGTTATAACATTATTAGTAACCTCTTTATTTTCTGATTTAACTCATTTTCTCATAATTTCAACATTATTCAGGAAGACTTATTGATATTTGTTCACAAATATGATTTACTACAAGATTACAACAAAACAATCAGCTGCTATCAAAACACCATCACAAAAAGATAACAGCATGTATTTGTAGGGTATTTGGAGATGAAACTGTTTGTCTGTATAATAATAATAGCTCTGACTGAAACATATTTGATGATTCAAAAAGTAAATTTGTAGGGCCTTCTAGGTATATCAATATATGTAAGCTAGGTTTGAATTTATGAAAAATATTGTTATAGTGAACTACTCAAGAAACTCAAAAAGTCTTTCTCATCAAGTCAGAGCCAGCTCATAGCTGACCTTCCAGTGGGTTTCTCAGGCTGTAAATTGCATCAGAGATTTCCTTTTTATTTTTCCTCAGAGATGCTGGTGAATTTGAACCACTAGAGAGATTTGTCTTTGAATTAGCAGTTTGCCTGCCTATGAACTACACTATCATGGGGATATTTTTATTAAAAATGATAAATTTCTATCAAAACACTGCATAAAGTTTTCATAGATAGTCATTTTGATGTCATACTCCTCTATTCCCCAACAGTGTGACTTAGTGATGTCACTGGGAGTGTAATTAGTTTTCTTTTGGAACTGTGACAATTTAACATGCGCATGGTGGCTTAAAACAATATGAATTACAGTTCTGTAAACAACTATCCAACATGGGCTTCATTAAATTAAGCTGAGCTGAAACATATCAGAAGGATTGCATTCCTCTTTAAAGGCTCTGTTGTTGTTGTGTGTACCATTGAGTTGGAACTGACTCATAGCTGACTCTCCGGTGAGTCTTCAGTGGCAGTTAGTCGCATGGGAGGAGATTGCCCATCCTTTTCCTGAGGTGCAGCTGGTGGACTCAAACCAGGTGCCTTCTGCATTGCAGTGCACCTTTTTGCTACTAGGCTATCTCTTCCATTTTCCAGTATCTACCCACAATCTTTGGTTGATGGCCTCCTTCCTGTCTCTTCAAAACCAGCAATGATACATATCTGTCAGTTCTCCTCTAGTCATATTTTCACACCCATTTTTCAACTCAACTAAGCTACTCCAATTTTCAGGAATTGTACATATCATCAAATTGGACCTGCCCCGATAACCAGGCTATATTCTTATATCAAAGTCTTCAATCACATCTGTAAAATTCCTTTTGCTTCATAAGGGAACAATATTCATAGGTGCCTGAAATTAGAGCGAAGATGCCTTTGAGGAACCATTATTCTGCCAAATATAGGTGGCATATTGTGTAACAATTGTTCATAGATTTCAGGCAATCTGGTTTGTTCAGGTTTTAGCAGTGATTGATAGAAAAAAAATTGTCTTGCAGAATCAGTCTCTTAAAGTATATTTATTAGTCACACATACCTATATTTAATATTCTTTTTTTTAAATCAGCAAATTATGTAGAATTTTGTGTTGTGGAGATCACTGTAGGATTGTGCATAATATATCTTCTCTACAGACTGACATCAGCTTTGTTATGATTTCAGGCAGTGCTTTGTATTACTCCTGAATTTATTATTAATTGCATTCCAGTCTGCTTTCATGAGGCAACTTTACAATCCTTTATCTCTGAGCAGTGGGCCTGTGGAGGAGGCACAGAATTGTCTCGGACAACAGTAGAGACAAGAAGCATCCTGTGTCTTTGCTGAACTAATCAGTTTCCTGCCATAGGAATTTATGCTCACACAGTTTCCTGTTATAATCGCCTTGATTATCCTAGATATGGATGTTTAAGTGTGGCTGGCATTCTTGAGTCTCAAATTAAAAAGTAGAAAGGTGTCCTAATGTGATTTGTGCTCCTTGATTTTTTAATTTAAGGTTCCCAGTGGTGAATTTCCTCCCTTCATTGCTTTGCAGTTTCATTTATTATTGACCAGAGAGCTCAATAGTGTCAAAATGGATTTCTTAAAAGACCCTCGCAAAATATCAAATGGGTTTCTTTGGGAGGTAGTAATTTTCTTGTTGCTAAGATGCTATGATACAGGCGTAGGCTATTCTTCTCTAAACAGTATAGAACTCAATCATCCAATGGTAACTCTAGATCTTTTCTAACTCTAGAAAGCTGAAATCATGATTCAGATTCTTAAACTATTTACCTTTATGTAAAACACAGAGAGGTCCCTTGAGTGGTGTGATTTAAGGATGTCAGATGGTTTCCTGTCTTCAGAAACACCTGTAAATGCTTACTGATTTCTAGAATGGAAGACACCACCATTTACTATTACTGTTTTACAATTTAAATTATAGATTAAAAAGCTTCTAGCCTTAGACATGAACTTAAATTTCTATCAAGGTGTCCTCTATATAAATGTATTCTAGCAAATATTTCTTTAAAATAGATAAAAACAAGGAGAAAGTAGAGGTAAAATTCTGCATTCTGCCTTTACCAAGTAGTATCGGCACACATGAGATATGTGCCAGAACTGATGATACAAAAATCACTTTGATATAATACAGACTTCCTCTTAGTAAACTAACACTCTAATAAAGAAATGCAGGCTTGTGGGAAAAGGCGTGTACATGCAGAATCATAAGTGCTTTAACAGCAAGCCTTATATGTAAAGATAAGAACAGGAGGGAGGTGAGATTTGCTCAAGAGTAAAAAAAAAAAATGTTTTAGTAAAACATGACTGAGCAGATCACAACAAACTGGATTTTGAAAGATGATTAGATTTTTGGCCATGGATGAAAACATTTCAGATGTAGTGTATTTGGAAGTACAGCTTACTCTGGCATGCCTTAGGAGGTGCTAGGTTGTGGCCTGATGTGTGAATGAAGGGTGATGAAAGATGTCTTGAGATTTAGGCCAGACCATTAGAGAGGGTCTCAGATGCCTTTTGGGAAGTCTGAACTCATCCTGTGGATAATGAGAAACCACTGGAAAAATATGATCAGTTTTAAAATGTGAAAGAAATTTTATTTGCTCTGCAGGGGGATTGATCCTAACCGGGATTAACTGAGACTGTATTCAACTGAATTCCATCAACAACCGACAGGAAAATTTAATGAACTATTGGAGTACCATGAACATGGTTAAACAAATAGTATAGGTAGTTAAAGGGGAGAAAATAAATTTGTAAAAAGAGGTATTGAGGAAAAAATTATATATATATATATCTCACAATTGTGTCTATTGTGTTTCAGTTAACAATCTACCTATGAAATGCTGTAAATCTTTGTTGTTGTTGCATTGCAAGTAAGCTTTTATTGTTGTTGTTGTTGAGTGCCATGGATTTTATGCAGATTCACAGTGAATCTATGTGTAGAGCTATTGAGTAGTGTTTGCTTGCCTGTAATCTTTGCAGAATCAAGTTACCAAATCTTTTTTCTATAGTAATACCAAGTTAACTTGAACCACCAACATTTTAACTTAAAGCCAATTCCTTAACTGTAATTAAGTAATTATGCCAGGGCTCCTTAAATAACCTTTAGCAACATTAAATTATCAACGATCAATTTCACATGGTCTATTGTTACCAGTAATAGAATTACCTACATTTCTTTTTGTTGAGTGTGTTTAAATACTTCGGTAATTATTTAAATCTAATCTTTCAACTGGAAAATGACCAAACAGGTTCACATTGCTCTTCTCATGTCCTTTTGAGATTATGCCAGCCACTGGCAATCTTGGCAATCAAGCCCAGAAACTTTTACTGTATTACAAACCTTGGAGTAGGGAGGAAGTCCTGAACAGAGGCCTCAATTTCTGTCATATATTTTTCATTCAATGTTAGGAAATGATCAACTCATTCATTACGCAGAGATTAAAATTTCAGACTGTCTGATCACAGCAAGTTTATTTGTAAAAGTAAAGTTAGTAGTTAATAAACTATAAGGTAGCTTCTTTTTTGTTTGTTTTTAGTTATACTCCAGATAGCCTGAAGGCTCTCAGAGCAGTGCATATTAGTTTTCCAGCAGTAATGATTCTTCC